CTGCTTTGGTCCCCACTGTGGAGAAAGACTGTAATTTTCCTAGGTAGAGGCTGGGGGGTGGAGATGGAAAGCAGAAGACAGAGAGGCAGATAAATGTAGGTTGGCTGTTGGGTGGGAAGGAAATAGGGTTGCCAACTCCAGGTTGGGAAATTCCTGGACATTTGAGGAATGGAGCCTGGAGAGGGTGGGATTTGAGGAGGGGAGAAACTTTGGATGATGTAATGTCATAGACTCCACTCTCCAGCCATTTCCTCCACATTGCCAGCCTCCAGGTGAGGATTGGAGATCACCCAGAATTACAACTGTTGTCCAGGTGACAGAGATCCGTTCCCCTGGCTAAAATGGCTGTTTTGGAGGGTTGAGTTTATGGCATCATACCCTGCTGAGGCTGCTTGCCACCCCAAGCCTCACTGTCCCAAGGCTCCACCCCCAAATCTCCAGGAATTTCCCAACCTGGAGCTGGCAGCCCTAAGGTGAATTGATCTCTGTAGCTGGGAAATCCATTGTGATTCCCAGACTGCTGCCACTGCTGCTGTGGGGGGAGAGGAAGCAGGTGGGTGGCTAGGAGCTCTACCACCACTGCTGCTCTGCTCTGCGGAGTGGGGGAGAAAGCAGGCAGGAGGCTGGGAGAGTGATGGGGGCAGAAAGAAAGAACGATGGGGTGGGGGCAGAAAGAGAGAGAAAGTGATGAAGTGGGGAGGCAGAAAAATGAAGAGAAAGATGACAGGACAGAAAGAGAGAGGAAGTCACATGCATGGAGGAGAAATAGTGTGAGAGGTATGGGGTGAGGAGAGGAAGCAAAGGTGTGACGAATGAGATAACCATCCCGCAAGTTTCTTGCGGGTCTCCACTTGTAATATATATTTGTGTAATAATCATAATAATGAACAATAAACAAAAGTAGTCAAAATGTATACATCCATCCTTGTAACAAACGTGCACTTTCCCCATGTTATAGGATGGAGATTGGTTCCAGAAAATAATTTATACAAGGAATTGTTAAAGCGATTCTTGAGAAAGAAAAGCTGGAAACGGCTTGTACATCTGGGGAGCCATCAAATCGCTTCTCCTGTAAGGACAGGATTGTCGATTGCTTCTCTCACAAGTAGCAACTTCTGGAAGAATAATAACTTTGCATTATTCCTTTTGCAGTAGCAGGACATATAGAAAAGAGAATCCCTGCACTGTTTACTTCCAGCTATATTGTCTCTTGTTATTGTATGAACTCTGTGGTGCATCAGACTTTGTGAATTCACTTTTCATATTGTATACATTTTGACTACTTTTTTATTGTTCATTATTATGATTATTACACAAATAATATATATTAGTTTATCAAATTGTTTCCTTTTCCTTGGATTTTGTACACGGTGTTTTCCTTTGTTTGAATTCTTCCACTGTGGTCCCTATTTTTGTCTTGCTAGTAGACAAGAGTTAGTCAATCCCTGCTGGATTATGGTAATGAGGGGGCACAGTCAGCCAGTGCAGTCCAGCAAGAAGCTTCCAGATGCAGGAAGACATTGTTACACACACATTACCTTTCTGGACCCAAGCCCATGGAAACAGAAGATGCTGAAATGGGAGGTCAATGTGCACTTATTGTGCATTTATCACCCAGGTATGCATACCCAGTGCTCCAAATCCAGCGCTCTAAATTGGCAATGTCCACCATGGCAGCACTGACCACTTGTTTGTGGACTGAGTAGTCTAAGTTCCCCTTCCCACTTCTACCCACAAACAGATGATCAGCAGTCTGAAATGACAGTGCCTGATTGGCAGACAAGATGTTCACAGCCTCCTTGGCTGTATGTGAAGACCACTGGACTGGGGCCAACAGCTCACATTTTATGGATAGTTAATAACATATATTAAATCTAGAGTCAGTGAACCACTGAGTGATCTCACCTCACTGTCCTGCAGATCAGTACAGGCAGTGGGGGGGGGGCACCCTTGCTCTCTATGCATGTGCACTAGAAGCAGGTCCTTCCAAATGGGATCTATAGGGGGGATCAAGCCAGCAGGTGGGGCTTCATGATCCACCTGAGTGTCCAGACTCATGGGTTGGAGACAATAGCATATATGAAGCACAGAACCAATCCTCCCCCCAGTCTTTGTATAATTTTTAGGTTTTTTACCCTCCAGTGTGCTAAAGACTAAATTTAACACTTGAGGGGAATGTAAATTAAAATGATGTGAAGTACATCAAAGATATTAAAAGCTACTTGCTTAGCTATATAATTTTTTAACAATAAAAAGAGCAATTTTACCAAGGCTTCGTAAAGTAGTCTGTAATTAAAGCTGATTACAGCTTCATCATGTTGCTGCACTCTCATCTGAAGTTTTAACACGCAACTTCAGCAACCAAATTCCATTTGCATTTGCATTTCCTTCCACCTAGGATACTGTACCTCTCATTATAAGGGTTCTGGTGCATGTGCACAGGTTCACTGAAGCAAACTAAAGCTGTCTGGTCCGTTAATATACCCATGAAATAGTATACTGATGTACACAGTGAAGAAATATGAAATATAAGGAGGTCACAGTTCACAACTGAAACAGCAGGTATGCATACCAATTAACCAAATACTAACACGTATGTCACTCTTGTCCCTCCCACCTCATGTTCAGCCTAGGTGGGCTGTCTACCCTTCTATTAATATTTTTAAATGATGTATAAACATGTTGTTATGTCCGTGGCTACAGTGTGGAGCTTAGCTCCTCTTAACAATAGAAGCCTAGGGAGACTTCTGGTTTCGGCGTTCGCCGTGGCGGTCGCTTTCTCCCGGACCTCTGGGAGATGATCGCCAGAACCCGTGGCAAGGAGGAGGTGCGATCGTCCGCATCCCCCATGGAGCCCTTGCATTGGGCTCCAAGCCATGGGGCGCTAGAAGGCTTCCCCTCTGGCGATCCTGCCAGTGAGGGGGGGCATTCATGCCCTGACGGTCCTGCTACAGAGTTTCCTGATGGAACTAGAAGCGCACACTGGATCAAGCGCTGGGTGATCAAGCGATTTGCTACTTAAAGTGAACTGAAAACTGTGTTGCCATTGAACTGTGAGTTAAGTTAAAGTGAGAGCATCAAAAAAAAGCTGAAAGCCACCCCACGGGAAGCAAGGGGGGGAGGGGACTCTCCCTTGAAAAGGCAAACATAAGCGAACGTTACTGTTTAAGAGGGGGGCTGGCTTGTGAATCGAAAAAGAACAAAATAAAGGACTTTTAAGAACTTACCAAGTGTATTGGAGAACTTTAGAGACTGTGGTAACTTTCGGTGAAAAATAAACAATTCCTCAAAAATGGCACCTCCAGCGAGGAAAGAGGAGAAAGAAAAGATAGCAGGAACTTAAAGAAGTTGATACCAGTGCCAAAAAGCTACACAAACAAATCCAGGCAATGGAGAAGAAGTGTCAAATAGATAAGCCTCTCAACTACTACAGTTGCAAATGGAAAGGGCAAGCTATGCCCTAAGGTTACAGGGACTCCCTGAGGGGAAAGGGGAGAATCTCATACAGATAATGTGCAAAGCCTTGGGGCAAATAGCAGATATTAAAGTGGAGACTTTGCAAAGCGATATTGATACAGTCTTTAGATCGTATATAGAATTTATAAGGAAAAATAATCTGCTGGGAGAAGTGATGGTGAGATTCTCCAGAAGAAGCATGAGAGATCAAATTCTCAAAGCGGCTAATGAAATTACCCTGAAAATTAAGGACAAAGAGATAAAAGTTTTAAAAGATATTCCATTTGAAATAAGGAGGAAAAGACGCAAATATAAAGACTTGGTCTTATTTTTTACAAAAGAAACAAATTGCCTACAGATGGGTTTTGCCTGAAGGAGTCATCTTTAAGTTCGTGAATGGAAAAGAGAAAATTGACACTGTGGAAAAGGCAAGAGAATTCTTGCATCATCATAGCTGTCCAACAGATGTGGAAGAAGAAGAAGAAGAAAAAGACAGTCCCGAGGAGGGTGGCGGAGATGGAGCAGAGCCATCTTCTGGTGAAAAATCAGACTCAAATTTGGGGGCTGCAGCCCCAAAAACAGGCTATAAATTGAGGAAGACAAAGGACAAAAAATGAGTTGCTATCATAATTCTGAAGTTCTAAAAAATGTTTAAACTATGTTTTCTTAGGCTCTTTATGAAGTCATAGTAGACGATGATTTTATTTAGACTTGAAGTTTAAAAGGAGGATGATGAACATGTTCAATGGCTTTACATGAGAACTTAGTTATATAAACATGTAAACTTTTTAAAGCTGTTTGTATGACACCCACTCTTGGGTTTTTAGAGGTTTCTTTTTTTATATCCCATAGTTTGTAGACCCTTCCCTATTTTTTCATGTAGTGTTTAGTTATAGAAAATACAATTTAAAAATCCCCTTCGGGGGGCCAAAAATAAATAAATAGAAGCCTAGGATCCTAGTTCCCCCAGCATTCACCAATAGCAACTTTGGCGGAAAATTCAAATCCTTCAACGGGACTGTGTGTGTGCTGGGTGCTGGGTGGGTGTGTATATAGTTGGCCTTGCAGGGCCATTTTTCAGTTCCTGTGTAAAGTACAATAAACGCATCTTAACGCACGTCGTGGTCCGAGTCTTCCATGTGGCGAACCCAGTACTTTACACATGTGTTTTCCTGTTCAGTGATCCTTATTCATTAAATTTTGCAGAGGAGAGGGAGAGGGGTGGCTGTGGGTGCTTGGAGATCAGGTGCAGGGTCCCGCCAGCTGGAAGTGCTTAAAGGGCCCCTTTAAGCGCTTCCAGCTGGCAGAGACTGGCCCCGTGTGCCTGAACTCCAGTTCAGGCACGCCGGCAGCAGCCATCCCTCTCCTTCCCCTCTTGCAAGATTTAAAGGGTCCTCCACCTGGTTGGCGGGCCCTTTAAATCTTGCAGGAGGCTTGGGAGAGGGGTGGCTGCCAGTGATTTTTCTTGGGGGCTTGGAGCGGGACATACCCAAGGTGATGTCATCACGTTGGGGATGCCCCACCCCCTCTGGGAACACCCCCTCCCAAAGTCCCCCACTGGGGACAAAATCAGACCTGGTAACCCTAAATGAGTCCTCCCTCCAAGACCAAAATAGGCCTCAAAAGGACCCTGCCCCCTGCCTCTGCCTTTTACGGATAGAATCCAACCTGGAATATTGTGGTTGCCTACCAACAGACACTGAGGGAATCTGTTGCTTAAAGCTTGATGAAGAGAGAGGCCGCAGCCAAATATTATGCCATAGAGTCCAACCTCCAAAGCAGCCGTTTTCTCCAGGGGAACTGAGCTCTGTTGTCTGGTATTCAGTTTTTCTGTGGGGAGGAGGTGAAGGAGGAGAAGAATAGTTGGATTTATACCCCGCCTTTTACGCAGAGTCTCAGAGTGGCTTACAATCTCCTTCCCTTCCTCTCCCCACAACAGATACCCTGTGAGGTAGGTGGGGCTAAGAGAGCTCTAAGAGAATTGTGACTGACCCAAGGTCACCCAGCTAGCTTACATGTGGAGGAGTGGGGAATCATACCCAGTTCTCTAGATTAGAGTCTGCTGCTCTTAAACCACTACACTAAACTGGCTCTCTAGAGGCTGGCAATCCTAGGCCTGGCAGCAGCCTCTGGGTGACTTGATAATTCTGTGGTGTTCCACCTGGAGATTGGCAACCTTAGTCCTGGCAGCAGCCTCTGGGTGACTTGATACCTTCCAACTTGTATGACTCAATTAGGCCTGGTTGCTTGTAGCTGTTCAAAAGCAGCCACCCTATTGAAGCTAGCATCTTAGAGTGCTTAGAGTAGGGTTTGGGAGACCCAGGTTTGAATCCCTAACTTGCTATGGAAGCTTGCTGGGTGATTTAGGGCCAGTCCCATACTTTCAGCTTAAACTACCTCACAGGGTTGTTGTGCAGATAAAAAGGAGGAGAGGAGAATAATGTGAGCTGCTTTGGTCCCCACTGTGGAAAAGGGTGGAATATAAATAAATAAATAATAAATATAGTCCAAGAAGGGAGGTAGACAAAAGGTAGATTGGTGAATGGCTGAGGAGAGAATGATGGTCAGATAAAGTTGGCTGTTGGGCGGGAAGGGGATAGTTTACCAACTCCGTGTTAGGAAATTCCTACAGATTTGGAGCCTGAGGAGAGGAGGGATCTCACAGAGGTACAATGCCATAGACTCCACCCCCAAAGCAGCTATTTCTTCCAGAAGAACTGGGTTGCCAATGCCAACCTCCAGTTGGAGGCTGGATATCACCTGGAATTACAATGATCTCCAGATGACAGAAATCAGTTCCTCTGCAGAAAATGGCTGCTTTGGAATGTGGACTCTATGGCATAATATCTGGCTGAGGCCTCACCCTTCTCCAAATCCTACTCTCCTCAGATTCTAGCACAAAATCTCCAGGAATATCCCAAACTGGAGCTGACAACCCTAAGGGAGAACTGATCTCTGGTTGGGAGATGTGTTGTGATTACAGGAGATCTCCAGGCCCCACCTGGAGGTTAGCAAACCTAAAAGGAGATAAGGAAGCAGGAAAAGGGGGAGAGGCTATGGGGGCTTTCAGGAAGGGGAAAGAGGAAATAGTGAGGGGGGAATGAGATGCATTTCACAAGTCCTTGCAGGTTCCCACTTGTGTTATATATTTATCACAGAAGCTCAGTAAAATGTATCCAAGAAACTGGGCCAAATGTTGTATATTACAGATAAGTCCATCTGTTCCCTTCATCATACATTATAAACTCCTCCATCCAAGGTGTCAACAAGAACTGAAGCATCATGGTGTTTAAGATGAATCCTGGATCTGGATCTAGGTGTTGTGGGAGGGGCCCAAGGCTTCCCTTCTGCTAAGGGAAAAATCTTCCAGTGGTAAAACTCTCCAGTCGCCTGGTCTCCCAACAGAAGATTCTTCACACAGGATCTATCCCTAACAAACACCCTTATGTTTACTACCACATGTGAACATTAGGGTGGTGCTTAATCCTTCCTTTGTCCACTGCATTTCTCCCACAATCCCTTCTCGTCAGGTACTCTCATCAAACTGCTTTTTCTTCCAACTGGGCTCTGAGATCTATTAGAGCAAATAATGCATTATTGTTGTATTAAATCTAGAGACATTTTCAGTAGAACCAAAAACCCATCATCTCAAACTGTGGGTAAGGTTAATTTAAGAGAACTAGCATTTGCAAAAAAAGATGATAAATAATATTAAAATATTCAGTTTTCCTGGGGGGGGGGGGGGGGGAGAAGCAGCTCCCCAAATTCATTTACTTGCAAATACAGCAAAAAATAAAGGGGGGATACAGTCATAATTTAAAAACAATGAGAACACTTACACTTATGAGCCTTGAGCCCTTCAAATGAAATGGGCCCATATTCATAATATTCATACTCCCAGGTGTAATCAGAATTAGATAAAGCATGCTGTGATGTTCTGTTGGCAACAAATCGATGTCCAGCCATCTCCAACCCTGTTACACATTTAAAAACATGAAAACAGATGTTAGCAACAAAAGCAATCCAACCCAAGTTTCCTTTCCATTTCTCTGTTTACTGTAGAGTGGACTTCTGCTCTGGGCTCTCATCTTTCTAGCAGAGGTCCTCCTTTCATGAAAGGTCAGCTTTCACCTACCCTTCCAGTCTACTGCTACGTGGCTGAGTCAGCCATTCACTAGGTGAACACATGACCAATCAAGAGCTGTCTGTGAGCTAGAAATCAGATGAGGATGACAAATATCCTGAAGGCACTGTTGACTCTTGACTTAGCGCCGGACGGAACAGGACCAGTTGTGGAACCTGACAGTAAGGAAGTGATTCTCTAATGTTCTGTAGTTCCCCCTCCTGGCATATAATGCAGGAATCTCACATCAGTTAATAGTGAACATGTTTATATTCTTACTAGGAATAAGGCCTGTTGTGGAAATAAATACAATAAGTTCTAGAAAGAGGCTCTGGGCGGGTGCCCCGGCCTTGGGCACTCAGTGTCAATTTGCTATGGCGACCTCAGTAGGGTATGACACCGAGACCACCATTTTCTCCAGAGGAACTGATCTCTGCTACCTGAAGAACAGTTGTAATTTTGAGTGATCTCCAGCCCTCACCTAGAGATTAGCCAGTAAAACAATAAATCACCGTGTACAATTAAACAATATTTGTTGGTTTTTATATGCAATGTTTAGAATTCAATTATTAACAAGATTACAACAATAACACTACAATATGTGATATAAAGCTTAGCAGTACATACAAAGTAAGACAGTACTAGTTACAGACAAATGACGGAGTTCTAGTACACTATCCGTTTGCGTGTCCTTCATCAGGTTTGTCATTCTGTAATTATTTCTTCATTAGAATGAAGTGCTGCAAGCCATATTTCAAAATGCTAGTTCTTATACAATTTTTGATGTATGCTACCGCGCTTAGATTCTGGTGACTGGGGAGCTCCTATAGCAAGCTCTAATGTGACTGGGTCTTCAGCATATAATAATTGGCTAAGCTTCCCTCATGGTAATAGTACTGTATTACTTTGTATGTACTGCTAAGCTTTATATCACATATTGTAGTGTTATTGTTGTAATCTTGTTAATAGTTGAATTCTAAACATTGCATATAAAAACTAACAAATATTGTTTAATTGTACATGGTGATTTATTGTTTTACTGGCTATTACACACCATGGTCCTGTGTGTTGTAAAACTCACCTAGAGATTGGCAACGATGGTTCCCCAGGAGGGAATGGCTGGTTTGGAGGGTGGTGTCTATGGCATTGCACCTGTCTGAGGTCCCACTCCTCCTCAAACCCCACCCTCTCCAAGCTCCTTCCATCAAATCTCCAGGAATTTCCCAACCTGGAGTTGGCAACCCTATCTCCTTCCCAGCCAAACATCAACTTACCTTTATCTGCCCCTCTGACTTCAGCTTCCCATCTCCTCCCCCCTCCCTTCTGGAGAGCAGTTGTAATTCTGAGTGATCTCCAGCCCCCACCTGGAGATTAGCAACAATGGTTCCCCAGAAGGGAATGGCTGGTTTGGAGAGTGGAGTCTATGGCTTTGTACCTGTCCGAGGTCCCACATCTCCTGAAACCTCACCCTCTCCAGGCTTCATCCCTCAAATCTCCAGGAATTTCCCACCTGGAGTTGGCAACCCTATCTCCTCCCCAGCCAATCATCAACCTACCGTTATCTGCCCCTCACTCTTCAGCTTCCCATCTCCAACCCCCTCCCTTCTGGAGAGCAGTTGTAATTCTGAGTGATCTCCAGCCCCCACCTGGAGATTGGCAACAATTGTTCCACAGAAGGGAATAGCTGGTTTGGAGGGTGGAGTCTATGGCTTTGTACCTGTCCGACACAGAGTCCACCATTTTCTCCAGTGGAACTGATCTCTGCCATCTGGAAAGCCATTGTAATTCTGAGTGATCTCTAACCCTCACCTGGAGATTGGCAACAATGGTTTTCCCCAACAGGCACTAAAGGGAAATGTATTTTACCTCAGAGCACATTTTACCTCAGAACAGCAACAGCAAACTGTTTAGAATGTTACAGGCAAAGGCCAATCAAGCCGCATATGCAAATGATCTCTGTGTTTCGAGGCAAAGGCCATTGAGGCCACATATGCAAATAACCTCTGTGTTCTGACTGCCTATGGGGGGGAGAGGAACAGCAAACTGATTAGAATGTTGGAGGCAAGACTCAAGCAATACAGCCAGTGGATAGGGACAGATTCTGAGTGACACACCAGGGCGCCAACCAATTCGGGAGCGTGTGGAATGTTCTGGAGAGTGCCACCACCAAAAGGCTTTTATATATAAGGAGAGTTTTTCCATATTCAGTACTTCTAAAGATACAAGGGACCCACAAGGACTTCCAGGAGGCATCTCATTTCCTCCTTCTCCACTATTTCCTCTTTCACTTCCCTAAAAGCCCCTACAACGTTTCCCCTTTTCCTGATTCCTTCTGACCTTCCTACCCACCAGCCAACCTACCTTTTATCTTCTCCTACCCCATCCTCACTTATGCCTCCTTCCCTACCCATGGCAGCCTTTCTCTGGGAAAAGTCTGGCTATGTTGTGCAGTGCTAGATGCTGAGCCAGGCCCAGTTGCCCAGTGGGAAACCCAAAAGGACTGGTTGGAAGTACCTCAATTACCCCTGTATCCCTTCCCTCACATTATTTCCTCTTTCCCTCTTCCTGGCAGGTCTCATATCCTCATCTTTCCTTGCTTTTCTCTCTCCTTCCCACTCACTCACCAACCTACCTTTTATCTGCCCTTCATCTTCAGCAGTATTTATTTACTGCATTTTCTCCACAATGTGGACCCAAAGCAGCTTATATAATTCTCTTCCATTTTATGTTCACAATAACCCTGTGAGGTAGGTTAGGAAGAGATTATGTGGCTGGCCCAAGGTCACCAAGTGAGCTTCGACAGCAGAGCGCTGATTTAAACCTCAATTTTCCTCATCCTAGTCTGAAACTCTAACCATGACACTATACCGACTTTTGTGGGGTGGCTGCTGTTGTACAGTAGTAAGTCACGAGTAGCCAGGCCTAGTTGTGTCATACATGTGTCATGGCTGCAAGTCACCCAGCAGTTGCTGGTAGGCCTGGCCCCATTGAGTGCTCCCTCAGAGGCCAAAAGCCCTGCCCCCCCTTTACTGACAGAAACCAAGGCTTCAATTGCCAATACTACAGTGGTTGCCTAGAAACAGCCACAAAGGGAATATGTTTCTTAAAGCTATAGGTGCTGCTTCTATTATGGGGTGGGGATCTTTCTGTAACCCTAGGACTTTTCTCAGGTTTGTACAAAGATCTGTCTTGTCTGTCCATGGCTCTAGTCTCTTGATTTAAGTATCCACAGATTTGGCCACACTGATATTATGACATTACTGACCAACATGTTGTATTACATGGCCATTTAGTACATTTTAGAGAAGCAAAACCCAAAGCAAGTTGTCACTGAGCCACCAAGCTCATCCTATGCTTCTCCTCCCTTCTTGCCTTAAGAGCCAGTTGTGAGAGAGTTAGGACCCACTTTAGGATCCTAGCACACAGTCTAAGAACACCTCTTTCAGGGCCAATATCCACTCAGAGATGTGGCACCTTTAATATGTTGTATGCACATTTGTTATCATCGTGATCCATTTCTATATATATATCAGTGTTCATGGGGAAGGACTGTAGCTCAGTGACAGAATGTATGTTTTGCATGCAGAAGGTCCCAGGTTCAGTTTCTGGCATCTCTGGTTAAAGGGTAATAACAGCAGGGAAAGTCCTTTTTCTGCCAGAGACTGGTTGCTAATACTGAGCTTGCTGACTCAATGGTCTGACTGTATACAGCAGCTTTGTACATGATATATAAAACCACTAAATGCCAGTTCAAGTACATTAATAGCTCTCCTGCAGCATCATAGCACTTTTCATTTTACAGAAATGAGAACTCACATGAAGATTATCCTCTGTAGGCTATTTGGTATTTTCTCCCCATACTGAACAATTGAGCGTCCCTGTTAGAGCGATAAACAGGAATATGCTGGCTCAGTATTCTAAAAAGAACCAAGGGAGGTTTCACATTGATAAAGTGCTTGTAATAAGTTCTGTATGGTTTTAACTTTAAAAAGACAACCCCATCAGCTTTAGAAGTATTCCATTGGCTCTTACACATATTTTTTTTGTTCTTTTTAAAGGCGATTATGCAAACTGTTTCATTTCCTTCAGCTCTTTTCCTTAGATATAAGAGGCAAAAGCATGTGTAGAATTCTCCCATTGAAATTAATGACATCTGAACCCACCTTGGGTCCTGGGATGCCTAGGAGAAAGGCAGATATATCAATTTTTTAAACAAATATGTATTAAAGAATTATTGAATAATGTTTTTAACCTTTGCATGAAGTGTGTTTACACGGTATTTAGCTTCTTTGTGGGGGCAATCCTTACCTTCCATTCTGAACTACAGTTTTCATATAGAAAGACAACAGTAGATTTGGATCTTTGCCATCCTACTCTAGACAACATATTCCCCCCCCCTCCATTTTTTGGTACTGAACACTCAGCATGATGAAAGTTCTAGGGAACTCAAAAGCTTGCACACTATTTTGCGGCACCCCGCCCCAGAAATGGGGTAAGCACCACTGGGTGGTACTTTTAGAGAATAAGCCATTTGTGCTAGGAGACACACGTTCAGGGTCTTGGTGAGAACATGGACACTTCTGTGAGGCCCCAGATACTTGTCTACCACCAGTGGTTAAGTCTCACTTTAAAAAGTGCTATGTCCATACAAGTTCTGGTGATGAAGAATGTGTACCTAGAAAGCTTCAGTTTTCCTCACCGGTGTGTGATGAGTTCTGAATTAGTGTGAATGATGGAGCAGGAGCCACAAATGTGCTGCCTAAAAGTGAGATTTTCCAGATAAAGGGAGAAGGGGAATGAAAAAAAGGAAGGAAAACTGGGGGAGGATAAAATGAAGGAAAGT